TTCAGTTTGAAATTCCTTTATTGTTGTACATATTAATTCATCTATTAATTTTTAATGCTAACATGATAATCTGTGGTACAGATTACTTTTTATCAAATTATTGCCTGAAACTTCCTAAATACCTTTATTTCATCGTAACCTTCAACTATTTGATTTACGAAAATTCTTGAAATTGGAGCGTTTTCAATCTGGAGATCGGTTAACTTTGGCTATTTAATTAGAAACTTAAAACTTATGAATACCAATTTGTTTTCCATTTGAATCGTAAGATAATATGATCACAAAATAGAAAAAAATCTGCTGCGCGCAACACACAACTTTCACTTATCCTTTGAACTTTGCTCAACTTTGAATAGAAATTATTTTCTGGCCGTGTTGGGCTATTATAAATTTTTTTTTTATTGCATCTTTAACTTTAACAAATCATAAATACTAATAAAATAACAAAGGCATTTAAGCCCTGTAAAGTGATATCAATGGGGATAAGGCCTAATTGATATTAAAGACCACTTAATTATACAATGATCCACCGAGTTTAATCAAAATCGTTAGAGCCGTTTTTGAGAAAATTGTGAAAATGTGTTTCAGCGTTGATATAAAGTGGCACTTCCGGTTTGCCGATTTAAAGGAAAAAGTTGCTGTCACATCTAAGGCATATACCTATCTTAAATACGTAATATCAGTTTCGTAGGATTTTTCGTTTTTTGAGCTAGACTGCTAACATACAAACAAACAGACACACAGACCATTTTTCGGGAGTTGGTTATTTGGACTCAGGCTACCCCAAAATTTCCGTTGAAAACTCAGATTCAGATGAAAGTAAAAAAATGGAAGAACACAAAAATATTGAGCCCTTTGGTGCGACCTCATACTCCAAAACGTCAAACTAACGAGGTTATATAGGCCAAACAGTAATAATTTTATAAGCCACTCTTTAATTATATACATTCAATAATTTTCTAGGCCACTTTTTCTTCATTTTTTCTATTTTGTGATGATAATGTATCGTATGCATGTGTTTTAGTTGTTGTTTTGATTAGTTTAGTTCTTTTGTTTATATACATTTACTTTTATCGTTAATAGTTTCTGTATTATTTATTTTTATTTATTGTAAATAGATTACGAATGTGCTCTCTGAACACTATTATAAATGTCCTTAATTGTGACAGAATGTAATATTTCTGAATAAAAAAAAAATAAATAAATAAACTTTGTGATCATATTGTATTACGATTCAAGTGGAAAGCAAATGGGTATTCATGTGTTTATAGTGCCTCATTAAATTGACAAAGTTTGACGATCTCCAGAAAGAAAAAAAAATGAAAATTTTCTTAAATAAAATATTTGTAGGCTGCGATTAGATGAATATATTTACGAAATTTTAGGCGTTTAATTTTATTATTATGAAATTTTATACTTTGATAAAAAGGGGTCTGTGCCACGGACTATAATCTTGCTTCTGCGAAGGATGCATTTTAAGATTATGATAGGAGTAGTGTTGCCCAATATCGGTCTCTGTCTTGCAAAGTGCAAAACCAAGACCAAGGCCGCCTAACTGTTGCCAGACCAAGACCAGGACTGGTAAAAAAAAATAGAATTTTTAAATAAAAATTGAAGTAAAATAGTTACTAATACTTGAAAATCTTAGTTACTATATCTTAATAATTGGTATAACCAATACACTTTTGCATTTAACTCCTCTAATTTTTCATTTGTGCTTAGTTAGGTTTCTTATATCTAAAAAATTACAGTAATATCTCTATAGCAATAAGCTAATACGTAACTGCAAGACTTGCGAGATTCTTCCGCAAGATAAAGACCATGACCAAGACTGAGTTTGCAAGACCAAGACTCGTCTCGGTCTCGCATTTGGGCAACACTAGATAGGAGTATAACAATCTGAGCGCCCTCTATACCGCAAGTATTATTATTATAATTATGTTGATAAAAAATCATTATTGTATTCTAAAGTGACAACTCAATGTGACTATACACTACCACAATACCAATCCACTCCTTATTGACAGACAGCCAGTGCCGGCAGTGGTGGTAGAGTGCGGGACTTCTCTCTATTGATCATGCGGGACATGATGCGGGTGAATGGTATGTGAACAAATACAGGGGGCCTGTGGTGTGTGGGAATATGGGGATATAACCCCCTGGGCCGCTCGCTACACCTGCCGGACCTGATACCATCGGTCCGTTCCAAACTGGTTCAATAGGGGCGCCTATCCTTCAACCGCCGATCAATGTCCTAATGATTGAACTTTGATAATAATATATTATATATATATATATATATATATATATATATATATATATATATATATATATATATATATATTTATAAACTTTGTTATATGATATAATGAATGATATTTACAAGGTGTCCCGTAAGTAGAGGGAATTATTTAAAAGGTTGATAGTAGACATCAAGATCTACAAAAAGGTTTAGGAAATTTAAGATGAGTGCTTTTTCAAGCTAGTAAGGTTTTTTGTTGAATAGGAAGTGATATCTTAGAAAATATTTTATTTAAGTAATTAAACATTGCTTCATAGTAAACTAGAAAAAAATTACTTTCATAGTAGAGTTTGTCATTTTTAAGACTATTTAAAAAGGAACACAGTGGACAAACACAGCTAAGTTCAGTTTAAAAAAAAGTCACGAATTATTTATTTATTTATTTATTTTTTACCACTCTTTAACTGTACTACATTTACCCCACTTTTAGGAAAACATCCTCGTTTAATATGTCTTAGAACATATCGATTAAGTTGAGGTTTATTAGAAAATATATTGAGATTCACCTCAAGTGGAGTAAAGAAACGATGTGATTTTTCTATCCAGTCACATAAAAGTACTAATGTTTTCATAAAATATAACAACAATTAACTGTTGAAAATCTTTAATTTATTGTTTTTTCCGTGTTACAGGATGTATTGTAATAAACATAATTTAAAAAACACATTTTATTATTAAAAAATTAAAAATAATTATTTTTCAAATATTTATCAATACAAGCTGTCCTTGGAAGTAATCAACAAGACATTGAGAAACTCGCTACAAGACTGATAAGAGAGACATAGCAGATCGGTCTTCAAGTAAATGAAGACAAAATACAATATATGATAATAAGCCGAAAAATCCACCCCAATAACAGAATCTGTGCAGAAGGAAAATCATTCTCGAGAGTAGAAAAATTCAATTCAAAGATCGGCTCCACAATATAACTATATAACTTGCGTAAAGCTAGTTATATAATATATTGCAAACAGAGCTTTCTTCTCCCTGTCTATGGTATTGCAATCCCAAAAATATCAAACTAAGGGTGTACAATGCTATGATAAAGCCAGTTCTAATATATGGCTCTGAGACACTAACCAGCATCCTAGAAAATAGTGTTGAAAGATTTGAGAGAAAAATCGTCCGCACGATAACCGCAGCGATCTGGAATTAGAGTACTAACACATGGAGAATAAAGACCAATAAGGAACTGCTTAGAGAAACTGGTAAATCAATAGCCTATGATATAACGGCGCGGAGATTAAGATGGGCGGGCCATGTAGCTCGAATGCCTCAATAGAAGGCAAAAGACCACGTGGAAGGCCAAAAAGCAGATGGATAGATAAAATCAATAAAGATGCAACAGAGCTGCATACAGATAAATGGAAAGAAATAGCCCAAGACAGGCAGAGATGGAGCAAGCTTGTTAAGGTGGCAAAAAATCTACATTGTATGTAATATCAACAGAAAAGAAAGATATATATAATTAATATCACTTATTTATTTAAAAAAAAAATGACATTATTCATAATTATTTTAAAATATAATACACAAAGGTCGATTAAAGAATTTTTGTAAATATATATATATATATATATATATATATATATATATATATAGAAAGTATCATCTTTCTTGAACTCAAAACTCTTGTTTCTTGATTCACTCGACATTTACCGTTGCACGTGCCGTTATAACGTAGCTGTCTTGTTAACGAGAAAAGTTCTCTTGCTCGTTAATTATGAAGGCGTCTGTTGAGCTGTGATATTCCGCACTTCCTTCTATTGGCATATATTAGAAGCTTCTTCCATCTTGTTGGATGTTGAAAACACTCGTAGATTACGATTGGCAATATTAACAATATTATGTCAATGTCAACAATATCTATAAAATTACATATATTATAGTGTTTCAGTTGAGAATAACCAGATTCAATGAACTAAATTTTTTGATTAGGATGAATTAAATATCTAGAAAATATTTATGGAATTTAAAACATAGGAATATTCCCCAAAAAACATTTATTAAATAACCGAAATAAACTAATCATTTCAGCCATAATCTGGACTGAGAAAAATATTAAAAACTAGCTATATGACACAGACGGATCTACGGGGGAGGGAGAGCTTTCGGGCTGTATGAATGACCCTTCCCCGAAAATGGTAAAATGTAACTATGTTTAATGAAAGAAAATATCTCTCAAAGTATTATTGTTAGACTAATTACATTTTATAGAACTTGAAGAATAACTTTTACACCTTTTCATGCAGGTACTTAGTTTCTTTCTTTCTTCCGAAGTAATTATCGTAATATGTACATAAGAAAAATTCTTTCGGGCTGAAGAGCCCCCAAAATTAAATCCTGGATCCATTAGTGCTATATGTTAATATATTTTGAAATGGTGTAGTAATTCTTTTTAGTTATTATTTTTTTAGGCTGTCGATGTGCGACATGGCACACCAGTTCTATGTTTTAGTGATGTAGCACTGTAATTTTAACCTTCTCGTTTGTATTATAGGAGGAGTATTCATAAAATGAGTCCAATCAAATTAAACAATAAAAAAATAATAATTTATTTATCTTATGGTATTATAAAACATTAAGCTATTGTTTATAGCAAATATTTATGTTGTTCAATATGAATAACATTATTAATATGAACAATATGAATACAATGAATACAATATGAATAAAAAAATAATAATTTATTTATCTTATGGTATTATAAAACATTAAGCTATTGTTTATAGCAAATATTTATGTTGTTCAATATGAATAACATTATTTATTTCTTATTCGTTTTTGGAATAAAATTGGAGATAACTCATTCAAACATAGTTTCTAGTTTATAAAAATATATACAGCGATATATACAGATACATAAACAAAAACGAGATATACATGGTGTAGGCCATGATAAATGACCAAACTTTCACACAATTAAAGAAATACTAACAATAACTCACGTCGATCAATAAACTTAATAGTAAACATTTTCTAAAATAAATATACTATATACAAGCAAACCAAATTATACATTTACTGAATGTACAACTGGATTTTCTCAAAGATAATATATCACAAATTTATTATAAAACATATATATTAGAGAAGGATACGATGAGATTGGGATTAAGAGACAGTATATGCAGGGATGTATTTGAATGAATAGAAAGAAAGGGGATGGAAATTCTAAATTAATGTACCCGAATTAATAAAAGAACGGTTAACGACGTTTTTGTCGTTAGGAATGTTAATATTGGAAGATTAGGAGGGTGTATTATGGGAATAAAACGCAAATTTGATGTAGAATTTGTAACAAAAAGATAATCTGATTGATAATAAATTCAAGATGATGGATTGATGTTGATGAACACACTTTAAATTAGCATAGTCTGGAACTTGGATCTTTTTGAAAATCCTTAAAAGCTCTTGGTAATTAAGCCAGTTGCCCCAAAAAAGATTTCGAAAGTATTTTTGATGAAGGCAAATAAATAAAAATAAACGATTTCGCAACGATCGCGGAAAGAATTAAACATCGGTAATATAACAAATTAAAAGGCTAGTGCGAATTGAATTGCGATCCGGCTAAAAAGCGAACTCCGTTCCTCGTCAAATTCCCCAGTTGAGCTTCGAACAGCGTATCATTAATAATTTTTTCCGCAAAGAGCCTCTGGTCTGGAGACAACCTGTTCAGTTTCATGGCCCACCCCTTGGCCACCACTTCGGACTCGCTTTCCGGAGTGTTGAAATATTCGGCGGCCAATCCCAACATCTCCTCTGCTGTGTTCTTCGGGTTCTTTTTGATTTTCTTCGGCGGAGGCGGTAAGGACTCGTCTGCGGAAGGTGTCTCCGGTTCTTGGGTCGACTGCTGAAAAAGGAAAAAGATAATTAGCTAGTTTAAGAACAAAAATAAAATAACAATAAATAACAATTAGGAAAAGATTAATCTCATAAAACAAATAGATTAGAACGCTAATCTAAGCACTAGAAGTAGGTATCTAATGACTTACACGGTCATTCGGAATTGCATTCCAAGGCACTAATGACGATTCGCATGATCGTGTAAGGTAGTGAATGAAGTACTGATGGAGGTGTCTGGCGGATTTCCATACATCTAGAAATCAAATGCTCATTCACGAGAAGTGGAGGGGAGACTGAGGTAAAAGTAGTGGAGAGACTAATCATACTACTGGGTTAGTATACCTAGGCCTTATAACCATTATAAATTCCTGATTTTCATTAAAAGTAAATAGTTAAATAGTTTGTCATATCCCTTGTTTATATCTTACAAACCATATTCAACTATTTTTTTTAAATAGTCAAGTGGACATCAAATTAAAAAAAAAAAACGTGGAAGCTTCACAATTTACTTAAAGAAAAAAAAAAATCTTTAAATGTTGTGTATATTTGTCAGTTCTTTCCACATTTTCAACACTCAACAAATTTATTATTTTGGCAATACATTTCCTTAAATTTTGTAAGTAGTAGACTTATATTTTACTAAATTTTATCAAACCGATTTTCTAAAAGACTAACATTACTACTAGATAGGTTCGTTTACATAGACCTCACAAACATAGTACATTCCTGATTTTTAAATAAATAATTTCATAAAAGTAAATAGCTTTTATATCCTTAGTTTATATTTTTATAAACCATTTTCAACTATTTTTTATTTAAATAGTCAATGGAGCAATAATGATAAAAAAAAGTGGAAACTTCACAAGATACACCGACCTACTTACGCTGGCGACACAACAATTTTAATAAAAAATCACGACCCCAGACTAGCCTCACTGAATTTACAAAATCATGTACTGAAAATAAGATTAAATCATGATAAGTAACAACATATAACGCATAACATTTACACTTCGACGAGAGACGTGCCCACCAATTTATATAGGGGAGAACCAAATTCTTCAGGCAAACACAGTACGTTACCTGGGATTAATATTCGACAGAAGGGTGACCTGGAGCCCACACGTCAAAATGAAACTACAGACCTTAAACAAGCGACTGAAAAAACTGAACTGTACTCACTTTTTTCCAAATCAAAATTTAAAATCAGACAAAAACTCAATACATACACTTACCTACTCAAACTCATATGGACATACGCCTCACAAATTTACGGTTCTGCAAAAAAGACACTCAGACACTCTTGCAAAAACTACAGACATTTCAGTCCAAAATTTTACGACTTATAACAGGACCTCCTTGGTAGGTAAACAACAAAACTTTACATAACAACTTACGAAAACCAACTTTCGACCGACACATACGCGATCTCTACTCCAGATTTCGTCTTAAACTACAAGGACATCACAATGGACTAATTAACAACATGGTCACAGCCACTAGGGGATCCAGAATTTATTTTTGGAGGGGCTTCAGCCCGAAAGTTTTTTTTTTTTGTAAAAATAACGATAATTACTTAGGAAAAAAAGAAAGAAACTAACTACCGGTATGAAATGGTCTTTAAGTTATTCCTCAAGCCCTTTTAAATGTAGTTACACGAATAACAATAATTTAAGAGATACTTTTGTAATATTTTTTTCGATAAACCATGGTTATATTTTACCATTTTGGGGGGGCTTCAGCCCGAAAGCCCCCCCCCCTCGTAGATCCGCCCGTGGTCACAGCTGACATGCCTATCAGGAGACGACTAAAGAGGAGCTGGATGAGAGATCTCCTTTCTTGAATTAAGGAAATAAATCAAGACAAGAAAGAAGTGCTGCTGGGTACTATTTTTTTTCTCATGCCTAAAATGTCAATTTTTCATATTAGTTACAGCACATCTGCATATTGTCAAGCTCCATAACAGGTGTAGATGGAAATATGAAGACAAAAAAAATAAATTATATAATTATTATTTATCACTAACAATTCCACATATATCATGGAAATTTAATAGCGACAATGTTTTGCCTTTTCGATTTGTTAAAAAATAATTTTTGAAAAAATTATATTTTATTTTTTCACCTCTTTCATTGTTCAGAATTAAATAATCATGCGAGGATACGAAGTGCTCCTAAGTCATTAGATGTAATGATGTCATAGTTAGAAACGTTGATTAATTAAGTCAATTACTTAATCTTACTTAATACTCGTAATATAACTAAAATTGCAATCATTGTTTCCAAAACTAAAACAGCTTCTCGGTCACACCTAATTGAAGTAAGTATGATTTCGATCCTTTTTTTTTTTTAAATTATTCTTTGACTAAACTCATGGGATCGCAAAGCTGACCAGCCTTGATTAAGTTAATAAAAATATTCAATGGGAAGCTTTCAATATTGATACTTACTAAATGAAATACAATTGCTTGCTCATCTTCAAATAGATGTCTTAAGCCAACATAACCATAAAACTTTGTACCATTCTAGTCTAATCTTTTTCTGACGGACATGCCATCAAACATAAAGGAACACGATAATGTTTCATTTCTTCTACAACAATTAGAAACCTCATTGCTGAATCCGGCCGAAGCGTTTATGATAAATTAATTGGTAGATTTTAATTTTGTTATTATTGAAGGAGTAGGCCATTTTCTTTTTAATCTCGTCGAGCAGGTAATAGGGAGGAGGAAATTCAAAGAACAAGAAGATTGATTTTAAATTGAAAAATGAAATGTAGTGTATTTCTCGTGGATAAAGGATTTTAATTTTGGAAGGTTTAAATCTTAGGTATAGTGTTATTGAATATTGTTTGAGGCAAATTAGTCTAACAATTTTTTATTGTGTTATTTGTATTTTGTTTATGTGTGTTTGTTTTGACGAATCACAAGTTCTGTTTCGTTTGTCCAAATCATTCTCAGTACAGCATTGTAGTCCGTTGTTTGAGTTATGTGAGGATCTGTAATCCAGAAGATGTGAGAGTTTGAGGTAAGACAGTCTAGCCAGTTCTTGTCTTTTTAATTTCGTATTTATGTTCCAAGTAAGTCTTTTGTCTAAGGAGAGTCCGAAGTATCGTACATATTTTTCACAATATAAAATAGCAAAGCCAAATCTACTTATTTATATGCAAAATATGTAATGATAATAAAAAGAAAATGATACCAAACTAAGAAATTTTTTGTAATTTCCAAGATCGTAACTAATATTAAACACATACCTCGGATTTTTGTAGTTTTAAACATCTAGGAAAAGCGCCGAAAATAGACGGAACCACTCCTTTTTTTAATTTAGTGTAAAATGGAGACCTATCGAAATCCTCAGGCTTGAAATGCCTTGAACAAAGCCGACTAGATTTTGAAGGTTCCCATTTATTTCTTCCTACGCCATCGGTCCATTTTTTTCTCTCGTCGGGATCAGCCGGAAAACTTCAGTCAGGAAAAGGCAAATATAAATATAAAATATTAGTATCGATTGGCTTTACAGTTTTACGTTATTCACTTTAAAATAAATATTGATTATTTTCAAGGGAGTCTTGGTAAGATCCGTAGAAATTGTTTTAACCACAATACTATGAGCCAGAAATCTAGTACCAGTCAAAAATGTAAGTTGTTCAAAATATTTTAAGTTCGTGTTTAATTTTTCTAGCATATGTCCATGTTTATCAGTCTCTGATGCTTTTTGTTTCAAATTTTCATGAGAGGAGACAAATACATCAAAAAGTTAGGATTAAGTGAGAACTTTATTTTCTGAAGATTTTCCTAATGATCAGTCGGTGTAATTCTCTTCATCCTGGCATCTAATTGTAGCAAAGGGTAAATGTTTTCTTGTAGCCTTGAAAGTTTCATTTTATTTACATTTTAGAAATTTTGTCGTTTCGTGACCCACTTTGAGAGATGTTTTTAAAAGTGTAAAATAAAGGTGTTTTTACAGACATCACACTGGACAAACGATTAGTTTTCCTAACTTTTATTGAAGATGTTTTATCCACTATTCCTTTCAATGAAGTCTTGTATGCAATTATGTGATGCAAACTCGTGATCAACAAAAGTCTTCTAAAGGTTTGACTGTTAGGGGGATAAGAAATAGTAAACTTTTTTTCAAGTATGAATTTGACATACCGTGAAAACAATAGAACAAAACAAAAGACAGATTACTAGAAAACTCCAGCGTCTGGTTGTACCGAGATGTCATATCATGATAATAATATTTCAAGACTATCAAACATCACAGAAATATTATTTGTAAAGCTAAACCGAAAATATGAAGAATATTAAGTTGAGATCATAAGTAGAGATTAATCATCGATATGTGGTCATTCTGTCCACCCGTCCTAGAAGCATACATTCGATTTTTTAAGAGTGTTCAATATCACTCTTAAGTTATATTTAGCATTCTAGTACCAAATATAGTTTATTTATTTCCCTCTCAACACCATACTTAAACTTGTAAACTGCTATATAACCAAAAAGAGTACAACCTCCCCTTCTCTCAAATTCCCACAATCCACTACCACTTTCATTTTATACAAATCTCTCTCCTACATTTCCTATTCTCTCTGATAAATACAAAAATTCTGTAAAATCGACTATAACCAATTTACATATTGACCTTAAGTCCCATATGAAACTTTCTTTCTTTCCTTTTCACACTTGAAGGATCCCGTACATTTTACACACCGATCTAATGTAATTTAACTGGTACCTTCTCTACTCCAATTGTAATAGCTCCTATATTGGCGAAACCAAACTACCATTCTCAAAACCCGCTTTCCAACGCAAAACATCCATAACTTCCCGGAATCTTCCGCCTGCCAATACTAATAGAACATGCCTTAACCCTCAACCATTTATTTGATTCGCAAAAACTCGATTCTACCACGGTCCCTAACGATGGAAAAATACTCATTTCCGATCCATCCACTTTCACATGGGAAACAGAATCTGTTATCATAATGAGATAAAAACTGCAT